TCTTTAAAAATAACATACAACTTATGACACTCACATCTCCCCAAGTAATAAAAAAATAATTTTCAATTTAGTATTCCACCTGGTTATGGTATCTTCAATTTAAATAATACATAATTAATAAATTCTGATTATACTGCCAATACTTCACTCAAGCATAACATCACTTAGGCATGTTTACATCATGCTTTGCTTATGTATGCCAATAGTATCGGTACATATTTTTATGATTAATGATAGCATATCATAGCTATGTACTTACTTTTTTCACTCAAAAATCTACCTTTCCCATATAAGTATGTATTACCTTTCCTCTTTCTTCTTAAACTGTCATATTCTAATTTGCAATATGATTGTTACCACTGTTAATTTAACCATCTCTCAGGAAACATTTGTTTCCAGTCTTCATTATGTTTATCATATGCAATACAATTATTTCTCTGAGAATAGACTATGAAAAATGAATTTTCTTAGGCATGTAGTTTTAGAATTCTTAGTTTTAATAAACAACAAGAATCTACTTTGCAAGGTGGATGTCATCAGTTAAGACTATACCAGACCCTGGGGCCAGACTGCTAAGTTTTAAATTCTTTTTTTTAAGTTTTAAACTGTGACTTTCCTATTTACAAGTGGAAAATCTCAAGACAGTTATTTATTTGTGCTTTAGTTTCCTTTTCTGTGAAATGGGGGAAAATACTATTTATCGATAGATGTTAGTCTCTTGGATACTATCAAGTTAGTTCTAACAATCTATATATTTGCCTGTACTAGTATTACCTCTGTTACAATAGCTTTAAGTCTATGTTTTCCTAGCTAATACAGCAAATCTCTTATCTTGTTCTTTCTCAGTATTAGCTAAGCTATGAGAACTTATTCTTCTATATAAATTTAAAACCATCTTTTGCCAGGCATGGTAACCCACATCCATAATGCCATCTTCTTGGGAGGCTGAGGGAGAAGGATAGCAAACTTGAGAACAGCCTAGGCAGCTTAGTGAGACTCTGGCTAAAAACACAAATTTTTTTAAAAGGTTGGGGATATAGCTCAATGGTAAAATGCCCCTCTGTTTGATCCTCAGTACAATTAAAACAATAAAGTTGAGTTATATGAAAAGTATTTAACATTACACAATATTTAGTAATTTGGAGAGGGCTGACATTTTTATAGTATTAAATGTTACCATCCAATATTTATATTTTCTATTATGACCTAAAGTAAAATTTTATAGTTTTCTCCATAATGTACATTTTTCATTATTTTATTCCTAAGTAATTTTATTTCTATTATAAAGTGTTTTTCCCTATTATATATTCTACTTAGTGTCAATTATTAGAATATTTGTTGTGTTACTTTTTTTCTTGTTGCTGAGACAAAATACCCAACACCCAAAATTAATGGGGAAAGGATTTACTTAGCTCACAGTTTGTAGAGGTTTCAATCCATAATCAGCTGACTCCAAGGCAGAGTGGCACATGGCAAGGGCGTCACAGAGGATAAACAGTTCATGGTAGCCACCCCCAAAAGCAACAAGGGAACCTTAACAGCACCTTTCTGCCCTCTTTATCTTATCCAGACTACCGGGATTAGGGGAGTGTCAAACCAGTCATTGTACTGGTTTAGTAATCACATGCCCTTAATCTCACACACACACTCTAGATTCAGCTACCTCTAAAAAAGCCACCTATGACTGACTGCATGAGGCTTTGGGGGAACATCTAGATTCAAATCTTAACACCTATTTTCACTGGTTTTAAAAGTGTTTTATGAAAGCAATATATGCACATATTTTTAAAAAAATCAAATAGTATAGAAGGGCATGACAATTAATAAATCCCTGCCCTACGCTTCTTATTTCTCAGTTCACAAATCTAGACACAAAAATGCTTCACGTGTTTGCTTTTTATCATGGTCATTCCTCCACTTTCTTACTATGCTTTTCTTCCTAGCATTATGATTTGGGTCTAAGTGGCCCCCTCCCAAGTCTCATGTGTTTGGAAGGTGATTGGATCATGGAGAGCTGTATTTATCAATGGACTTATCTACTAATGAGTTCAGCAGCTAAATGTGTTGTTTGGGGGGGGTGGTTGGAGGGTCTCTGGAAGGGTGTATTCTTGTCCCTGACTCCTCCTTTCTCTCTCTGATTTTTGGCTGCCATAGGTATGACAGCTTCCCTCCACCATGCCCTTCATGCCATGCCATTTCTGCCATGGAGCCAGTTGACCATGGACTGAAATGATGAGTCAAAATAAATCTCTTCTTTAAATTGTGGGTATTGGATACTCTGTCCCAGTGACAGGAAAGTATCTAATACATTGTGTTTTTTATGCTATTTCTTGAATTATGACCTGAAGTATTTTCTGTTGACTCCCTGCTGTCTCTGGCCCTGCTCCCACTTCAACAAAGCCATCTTACTAGTTTCACCTGTCTGTTGGCTATCTTGGTTACCTTAACAATCTAATATGTGGAACTCTACCTTATTCTATCAACTACAGACAGAATTTTCCACATTCTACTTTATGCATGCAACAGTACCAGTGTTATTCTACATACATTTCCTTTCCCCTCTGCTTTTCAAATTGTCAACTGCACTTTTATACTGTCAAGGTTGGTAACAAATGGTTTCTATTCTCTAATCATTATTCTTACCTCCTTTGCCTAAGGATTGAGTCTAAAAGCTGAAAACCAATATTTACATTAGTATGACTAGTGTTTAAATAAAGTTTACTGAATATCAAAGTTTTATACTGTAACTAGATTTTCTCATCTATTTCTCTTTTGGGGTACTTGGGATTGAACTCAGGGCCTTGTGCTTGCGAGGCAGGTGGCGGAACCACTGAGCTAAATCCCCAGCCCTTCTCATCTATTTATTTATTTATTTTTTCATCTATTTCTTAGTCTTTATCCATGTACAATGTGGAATTCCCTTTCTCACATCCCCAGCAACTGTTCAAAATCATGCACAACCTGAGGCTGCTTCACATTTGAAGCCTATTTTTTGAACAAGTTTGAAAGGTTTTCTTTATCCTTTAGATTCTGACTGTTACTGTTTTTGTGGGGTACGAGGTGGGAGGTGGGGATGAAGAAATATATGTTCCATTCATACCATCTTGTTGCTAATCTCAAGCTTCTTATTTTATTCATCTAGTCCTTAAAATTCATTTCATTCAGCTTCAGGTCTACCCACTTCCTATTGTCATTTAGAAGATCTGCCTCCTCCTGGACCCTTCTTATATTGTTTATCTTTGTGTAAGTTTCTCGCTGAATTTCCCCTCCTTATAATTTGTAATGTATTCTATACCTTTTTCTCTTTGTAAAGTTAATACTGGTTTTGATGGATGCAAAAAATTATTTCCAAGATTTTAATACTTTGGTGAGTTACATAGTTTGAAGAGCCAATTTTTCATTTTATCTTAGGTTTCATGGTTATACTATAAGCATTTAGCAAGTCATGAATTTTAATCAGACAGCTCTGCAGGCTTAGCTGTCTCTAAACTCCACAGTGGGTAATCTGGGTGCTTGGCCAGGGCCCCATATCACACAGGTTAACAGTGGCTCTAAATACGTATAGTAACATCCAGGTAAAAGTTGAACACCAGTGCAGGGGAAGTTTGAGTCAACTGGCAGGCTAAATGAAGAATGTGGGCAGTGTGCATATGAACCTTGTGGAAGAATGCTTCCCTCATCAGCCTTCGTAGAGTGGCTGGTCTAAAGTAATCCTCAGTTATTCTCACTCTCAACATCCTATACATTTTCTTCATGCCCAGAATTGATAATGTATTTCTTGTTCATTTATTTTGTTATGCTCTGTCTGAACTGCTACAGTATAAATACACTCTGTGAAGGTAAAGCCTTTGTCTATCATGTTCACTGCTGTATCTATGACACACAATAGTCAACCAATAAATATTTAAGAAAAGCGAAAACACATACTACTCAGAGCCAATTCTAATAACAAATCTGAATCAGCATAACAGATCTATAGACATAGTATCCCAATGATACAGTCCACATAATTAATTTTATACAACTATAACTTGGAAAATCCTAATTTTGCTTTATGTTTGCTCACTTATACATCCATATATATATATATACACACAAGCTCTGTTATACAATCATATTATTAAGAAGGCAATACAAAATCTAAGGCTTTCTAGTTTATGACTACTACACCAGTGTTTTACACCTTGTCAAAAATAATTCAATCACATCCCTAAGACTCATAAATAAAATAATCTCAATTTATTTTGATCAATAGCAAAATCCCTATGAACTAAATGTGAACCTCAAATAAGTTGAGTACCAAGTATGCCAAGCCTACATATAGTCAGTAGTATTACACAAGGTCCAATACTCAGATCTGTTCTTTTTTGATTTCAGGAAAAACATTCCTTACTGTATTCTGGGACAACCTGGCAAAATGCTTTGCCTATCTGTTAGAAGTCAGTGTTTCTCAGAACTCTACAGTTAGCCTTATCTTGTCACTTTCTACATTCTTCCTAGAGTCTCCTACATGTTTACCAGTTTTCACCACCATCTTCATGCTGATGGTTCCAAAATCTTCACAATTAACCCACATCTCCTGAGATTAAGACCCTTATTTCTAATTCTTTAACTGGTATATTCAAATGTAAGTTGAACTAATACTATCCATTTTTGCTTCTCAAATCAGCTCTCCTTTTTTAAGACATAATGGAACCAGCATGTTCTCAATCAAGCAAGCCAAGAGCTAAGGAGTCATCCTCTCTCTTTTCCTTACTAACCCCACACCTTCTTGGCCAGCCAGGAAAACCCTGCTGAAGCCATCTCCTTAATATGCCTCACATATCTCTGTCCTTCCATCTACTCTTCCAGACATTCAAAGGTATCTTGCATGTGGCTCATTACTTAACAAAAGTAACAGAAAAAGACTTCAGTTTGGAGTTTACACTAATGTATACAAAAAGGCAGTTTACAAATAAATTCATCCTATTTTTTACATTAATAAAAAATAAGAAACTTACTTAAATGGTGTGAACAAAAATGGGAAAGTAGTTTCTTTTTTCTGAATCATTTTCACCTGGGAACCAAGCATGAAAATATTTTAGTATATTATAATTAACAAAAAATTAATTTCATTTTGAAATATAAACATCCATTAAAATGGCTCCTCAGGGATAGTTAACTACTTTGAAAATAAATGGAATTGTGTGTTACTATATTGTTTCATAAATATTTAAAGGAAAAATGAGTACTATCTTACTACCTCAATGAGCTGAGAATTAAGCATATCAATCTTGCAAAATAACATACTGTAACATAATTAAAAGTGTATTTTCGGGCCGGGGATTTAGCTCAGTGGTTCCGGCGGCTGCCTCGCAAGCGCAAGGTCCCAAGTTCGATCCCTGGTACCAAAAAAAAAAAATTTAACTCCTTGAAAACCAAATAAACCAAAGTTTTAATCAAAGAATCACTTCTTTAAGTTCCTAATGTATTCCATATACGGGATGACAAGAAATGTTATGATCTCTAATAATACTTCTATGGGGCAAATTCCAATAGATAAAAACTTAAATTATAGTCTTTATAAGCATAAGTCAAAGCCAATACGACTAATGGAGCCTATATTCCAGAAATGTGAAACTTTAAGACACTAGGAAAATACAAAAATCTAAAGATGACAAATTATAGAAAATTTATTAAAGCAAGAAATAAAATATTTTAACCTATTATATTTAATTTTTAAATTATACTATTGTGCATTATTGTATCTTTATTTATTTTTTTACCTTGAACTGTTCGAGTATCTGGACTGCATTTGTAAACATGCTCTCTGCTTTAAAGAGATCCGTGTTGTTCAGATAATCCACTGGAAGAGTTCCCTGCAAATAATAAATTTTGAAATACTGGCTTAGTATTAGCATTAATTTAGCTCAGGCTATTCTTAGAAAATGAAACAGACCTAAGAGAGAAACACAAAGATAAGACATATAGACAAATCCCTGGATTAAATGAATCTTTTTAAAAATCATAACTGAAAGATGTTCTGTAACTTTTGTCACTAAGTGGGTATAATAAATAAAGCAAACAAGATAATTTAAATTCAAACAAGATAATTTAAAACCTAACACTGACTGAAAGATTACCTCTATGGTCTAGATCATAAACGTTCCCTAAAGTCCCATGTGTTAAAGGTTTGGCATTATTGGAAGGCTATGGAAATTTTAAGAGGTGGGGCCCAGTGGAAGGTCTTCAGATCACTGGGGGCATATTGTCAAAGGAGATTATGAGACCCAAGGCTTGCCCTTTCTCTTTTTCTTGGCTTGACCATAAGGTGAGAGGTTTGGCTCTACCATGCATCCCACCATGATGTGCATCCATGGACTGAAACCTCTAAAACTTTGAGACAAAACAAACTACTTCTCTTTATAAGCTGATTATCTCAGGTATTTGTTATATTGAAAAAAAGAAAACCTAACAAACATATATACTATGTGCTAAGCAGTGAACTAAGTATTTTATACACACACACACACACACACGCACACACATCACTATAGTTGGCCACAGCTAGCATACTTAAGAAAAAAAGACATATGAGAGTGTCCTATATGTTGAAAGAGTGAAGATTGTTTTATGAAACTTTTGTTTAAATCCATACACACACTTATGTACACTATACACTATCCAGGTCGTATTACTCAGAGTTATGAGTATGATGATATATTTTTAAGGCAAATTTGATTTTGAAGAACTAGTAAGAACAGCTGCTCTGAATGGTATTCTTTTATTTGGCTTTGTTTTTGGATTTTCTGCATCCAGGTCCATTTGTAAGGGTATTACTATTTTCTGCTGAAAAACCCTCCCCACTGGATATACTCAGCATGATTGAAAAATATGTTGAATGTTTAAATTTTAAAATTATTATATAAAAGACATATTGCTATTAACCCCCCTCAAAATACTACCTCTTGCTTCAAACACACTTATCCCACCTTGCTACTTTCGAAAACTGTTATGAAAGTCCTCTTTATGAGTATCTTTTTAGTTGTACTGCCTCAATGTCCTCAATAACTTCAAAACACTTACCTTTCATAGTCGTTTTGACTTTGCAGAAGAGCCAGAAGTCACACAGTACCAGATGTGGTGAATAAGGTGGATGTGGACCTGTAATATTCTTACGGCTTACCTCTCCATTGGATGAAACTTGAAAGCAGCATTAATTGAATTTTTATCACATATACTAAAGACACTCACAAAAGAGGACTTCCAGAAGTGCTTCCAAAAGTGCCAAGAATGATGGATTAAGTTTTCCATGCAAGGGGAAGTATTTTGAGGGAGATTAATGGCAATGTGTCTTTACTGTAATAAATTTTTAAAAATTTAAACATTCATTGTATATTTTGATCACATCTTGTATGATGGTAGGTCTATAAACAGGGGCCTTGCTCTGTTATTAGGCAAATAACCTGGGTTGGACCATATAGAATCTGAGGATTAAGAATCAAGGAACAGAAACTGAAATGGGTAAAATGTTATTCTACTCTATTGTTGTTACTCTAAGCAGAATATCCTTGCCATGGGACCATGATTGTGGTTCCTTCTTCTAAGTTTCTAGAGATGTTTTGGTTCCTGGTCATTTCTAAGACTGATTTTTGAGCAACCCTATGAATCAGTAAACCATATCTTTCCAATAATTTTCTTTTAAGTGGACTCAGTCTCTGCTGTTTTTTTATCACTTGCAAGTAGATTACAGAGATATAAATCATATGCATCTTAGAAAATAAAAAATTGAGGGGCTTGGGATACATACAGCTCAGTGGTAGAGTGATTATCTAGTATGTACAATGTCCTGGGACTGATCTCCAGAGAAAAAAGAAGAGAAAGAGAGGAGGGAAGAAGATTGGAGGGGAGGCAAAAAGAGGGGAGGAGAGAGGAAAAGATAGGAAGAGAGGGGAGAAGAGAAAGAGGAGGAAGAGGAGGAGAGGAGGGGAAAGAAAGAGGAACATACAATTTTAAATGTAAAGATTAAACAGAAAGGTTTTGGGGAATTAGCTCAGTGGCACCGCGCCTGCCCTGCAAGCACAAGGTCCTGAGTTCGATCCTCAACACATATACAAAAAAGATTATACAGAAATACACAACAGTAACTTTTTCTGTGCAATTTTTAATATTGAGTATTGATAATAAAATTTTATTCCTTACCACTGAGTTAAGGGGAAAGGGAACTCCAATAAGAGAAGCCATCAATGGTGCAATATCAGCCTACAAATAGAAAAATTAAATTCTAAAAAGTCCACAGATACAGTATCACCAAAGAAATTAAATAACTATATTTTGAAATATAACCATAACTGTTATAATCAATTACCTTTATTTATGCCCAAGATATTAATCTCTAAAAATATTAGTTGGTGAAGATGCATGAACTTATGAAAAATCTGAAACATAACCTTTAAGAGTTCTCAATGTAAAACATAATAAAACAAAAATTATTAAAAAAAATTACTTATCCTCCTAGCTAAAACTTGACTATTTTATGTAAGTATTTCAGTATCACGCAAAATGATGCCTTAAGTAGTCAGAAAATACACAGCAATAGAGGACTTTAATTGAAGAAATGTGTACATTAACTAAGCAAAGAAAGTATCAGATTCAGCCAGCCATTGAAGTCTAGGAAATATATAAACAAAGAAAGATCCCAAATACTAATTTGGATATCTCCTTTTCAAGTTCAAATTTTCAGAAGAGTTGCTTATGCATCCTATCAGCATTTTCTCATCTCCCATCACTCCTCAGCCCAACTTGTGTTGACTCCTTGTCATCCCCTAGACTCCTCTAATGTGAACTAACAATCTTAACTTTTCTAAATATAACTGTCTGTTTTTATATTAGTCCATATGATTTTTCAGGCATTAAAGTGCTCAGAAGTTAGCAGCCCCAGTTTCAAATCCTTAATTGCACTCTCTGAAACCTTGAGTAGGTTATTTAACTTCTTCAATGCTTCAGTTACTTCATCAGTTAAAAAAATGAATAAGCCTGGCATGGTGGCACATACTCATAATCTCAGCACTCTGGGAGGCAGTGGCAGGAAGATTGCAAGTGCAAGTCCAGTCTAAGGAATTTAGTAACTTACTTAGACCCTGTCTCAAAATAAAAAAATAAAAAGGACTGGGAATATAGTTTAGTGGGAAGGCTAAGGGTTCAATCCCCAGTACCACAAAAATAAATAATAAAAGTCTCCCTTACAATTCTGACAGGACTAAATGAGATAATACTTTAAAACTTACCTAGCATACAACAAACCTGCCACACTTACTCTTCTTGGTGATGCTATTATTATTACTAAACTTTTTAGCATCACTGTGTAGACTACTTCATTCCTGGCCTATTAAGAACACACTGCTGAGTTTCTTCAATCTCACCAGCAGCTCCTAAGTTAGTCATGTTTGGCCCTAGGCTCTCAGCCCTTGTTATCACTGATCTATCTTTACTAATCCATCTCCCAGAAAACTGCAAATTTCCAAAATCCTCTCAAATACCTTTTTTCCAACTCTACCGTTAGCTCCTTCTAATCTGTCCATATGGCAACCAGAGAATTCTTTTATAAAATATTTGAATCATGTCATTCTCCAGGAGTTTCACAACCTTTTATTATAAAGTCTATAAGGCCCATAAGCCCCCACAAGCTCTCTGCCTACCTTCTTCTACCTCCCATAATACAGTCTCTGTGGTTTTTCTTTAATAGGCTTTCACATGAGGTATACACACACACATGCATGCACATACACACAGCATTGAGGATTAAACCTAAAGCTTTATGCATGGTAGGCAAGCACTCTAGCACTGAGCTATACAGTATACCCTCATGAAGTCCTGGTTCAGAGTTTGCAGCCTCAGTCATCGGTAGATTTTTCCTTAGAACTAATAATTGTTTGCGGAACCCCCTACAATTTCACAGAAACCACAAATATCCTCTGCAATTGTTTTTTTGGTGGGAGGTTTTCAAGTAGCCAATCTGACAGCGTTATTCACTTTTCCTTGCTGCTGACTGATGTCATGTAACCCATCTCCAGCAGATGCACCAGCATTCCCACATCATAACAGGTTGCTGTATCACATGTAGCTATCTCGAGTGTTCTTGGTTTTGTTCTTCTTAAAGTCCTAAGATCCCTACAATGCTGCCAAGATGCCCTGTACCTTCTAAGGCTTTATTAATACAGTATTTTATTAAATTAAATTACATAACTGTAGGAGACATAGTATATGCAGGGTTTAAACTATAAAAATAGGCATTTATAGACATTTTTCTGATCATATTTGAAATTTGTGGTTTTTCACAATTTGTGAGTGCTCTAGGAATGTAATTCCCACAAATTTTGAGGGTCCACTGCATCTCCAGCCCTTTTTATTATTTTGAGATAGGGTCTCATTACCTTGTCCAGGCTGGCCTCAAACTTGCAATTCTCCTGAGCAGCAGGGATTATAAGCACGGATCACTACATTTGGGACCAGATGTCTTTTACCAGATCGGTGTGTGCAGCTCTGCCCCTGTGTGCACAGGCTGTCCCTCTGCCTAGAAAGTCCTTCTGCTACTATCTTTGCCTCAAAATTCCTGCTGATTCTTCAGTTTAACCTCAATTCTCAGTTTCTCAGGGACACTTGACCACACAGTCTACAAGATATATCCACTGTATGTGCTCGTGGCTTCATAGGCTTCTTCTGAAGCATTTATTACAGATACAATTTCATTTATTTGTGTAATAGTTTGATTAGCATCAGTTCTCATCTCTGGGGGAAGAGACTATGTTTGCTTTTACTTACTATATATCCTTTACAATTAGTACAAAGTTTAACATTTTTGCAGATCTATAACAGTGGAAGGGATGAATAGATTTTCCTCTAATGCAGATCTGAGGCAGGAGTATTAAGACAGACTTAATATTCAGACAGGAACAGTTGAATCCCGTTCAGTGTTTTAGTTACTTTTTTCTTGTTGCTGAGACAAATACACCCAAAGGTAAAGGGGAAAAGGTTTATTTGGTTTACAGTTTGTAAAGGTTTAAATCCATAGTTGGCTGGCTCCAAGGCAGAATAGCACATGGCAGAGGGGCAGCATAGGGGAAAAACAGTTCATAACAGCGGACAGGAGATAACAAAACAATCAAGGGACCTTAACAGCATCTTTCTGCTCCTTTTATTTTATCCAGACTAATTAAGATGGGTAGCACTCACTTCCTTAATCCTAGTGACCTTGAGCCTAGCATGGCACCATGACTCAATTCCAGCATCACACATTCTAGATCCAGCAACCTCTGATTAAGTCCCACCTATAACAACATGAGGCTTTGGGGGGACATCTAAACACAAGCTATAAGTTTCTGATTATGACCTGCTCTGGCTATATATAAAAGATTTCCTTGTTTTGTGGCCATCTAACTAGCTATTCTTGACCCTTGGACAGAAATTTTTAATAGCAAATTAGTAAATTGATATTCTGATATATGGTGGAGGTTAAGCTTAATTGTCAGCTTGATTGGCTTAGGAGCCACCTAGAGGATTAGTAAATCAAACTTCTAGGTGTGTCTGGGTGGCTCATGGAGACATGGCCTTGGGGCCTATTGCCCTTTCCTCTCTGACAGTGTTCCCCTGCTCTGCTTTCTGAGCACCATGGGGTAAACAGCATTTCTCTGCCACACCTTTCTGGCATGATGTTCCTGCCTTGAACCCAGCCTACCATGAAGAACTGAATCCTCCAAAATCATAAGCCAAATTAAACTTCTTTTCTTTTAAATTGTGTTAGATATTATGTCACAGTGACTAGAAAGTGACATTTTCATTTACTTGGTGTTACGGCTTATATCTAGATGTCCTCCCAAAGCTTTACATGCTTACAGGAAGGGTTTTTCAAAGGTGGCTGGATCTAGGGTGTGTGAATGTGGATTAAGGGTATGTGAATATGGATTAATGGTATTGATGTTTGGATTAGTCCACTAATTGGTTTAGCTGGTTCTGAGTGTGGGTGAGGGGAAGCTCCACCCTGGATGTGGATGGTATCAACCAATAGGCTTGTAGCCTGAATGGAATATATAGGGAAAAATGGATGGCAGGCTGGCTGCCTTGCGATGAACTGCCATGCCATGAATGGTTTCTCCTCTGTGATGTTCCTCTACCCTGACACCCTGCCTTGGAGCCAGCTAACTATGGACTGAAACCTTTACAAACTATGAGCCAAAATAAACCCTTCCTTCTTTAACTTGTAGTTGTCAGGTATTGTGTCTCAGTAAAAGAAAAGTAACTAAGACAGTTGGCTAACAAACATTCATCCTGAGAGAAGGAGATATTCTTACTATGCCTACAAGAAACAGGTTTCTGCAACCATAGGCCTAAAAGTAAAAACCTAGACATTGGTTTGTCACCATAGTAAAGAATGTCAACTTGTGCATGACATGGAAGGCTAGATATTCCTGCCACTTCGGAAACTATATCCCAATGATGTCATGCCTTCTAGATATAGTGAAGATGGCTGTGTACTTAATGACAATTGTGTACTTTATATTTACAGATAGATAATGCTATTAGTCTACCTTTATTAGGTTGCCCACACATTTTCCTGTAACAGATTTTTAGCTGGATAATTTATAGTTTCATCAAGTTTTCACCAAAGCATGTGAAAAGATACTGGTTAGGTAAAAACGAAAATATGGACAAAGGTAAAATATGTGTTAAAAAAGAAACAGCAACTGACATGAGGAAGATAGGCTGGAAGGAAAGAAGGAAGAAAGGAAGGGAGGGAGGGAGGGAGGGAGGCAGGCAAGGCGGGTGGGCCAAGTAGGCAGGCAGATTTAATAAGAGTTTTATTAGATTTGCGCATGGAGTATGCATTGCAACCATGATGAAACATGACAGAAATTAAACAAGCATGCAAATTTCAATTCACATAAAAGTTAATTATCCAGTATTATTTGTAGGGAGTCTTCTTTTATTTTTATTTAGGTTTTAAACATTTTACACAAGAGAAATTAGTTGTGCTAAAATATTTGCACTAAAAGTATTCTCCTTAGAAGTGAAATATTTTGAAAACTCCTTTGTCATTACTAATACATTTTTCATATTTTTATCTGAACTTATAGAAGATTACATTTGAATGTGATTAAATTGAAATGAATACCTGATTAACATCTCTTCTCTTCCATTTCTCCAGTCCCCATTCTGAAAGACATAATAAGAAATAAGATCTGGTATTAAGATTTTTAAAAGATTAAATTATTTAGTTTTTAGGAATATCCAATACTTCATGGAAAAGATAAGTATTGGAAACTTGGCTCTTTTAAGCCTAGTATGAATTTAAAAAGGTACTTTAAAAGGCAAAGGTGTGTTTTTAAAAAATAATTTAAAAAGAATAACCAAAAAGTATTGGATGTTTTCTGTGATTTTTTAAGTTTTTTAATTGCTTATTTGGAGATAACTGTTTCAAAAATATCAAAAGCTAAGAAAGTTGTTTCAAAACATCAAAAGTTGGGTTGGGGATTTAGCTCAGTGGTTTCACCATCTGCTGTGCAAGCACAAGGACCCGAGTTCGATCCCCAGAACCAACAAAACAAAACAAAACATCAAAAGCTAAAAAGGAGGGCTAGGAATGGGGAAAAAATAAGAACCAAGATGCATCATGTAAAGGTACAAGTTCCCAATGAGAAATGTAATTGTGTTGTATACCTAAAATGTACCAATAAAAGAATTTAAGGAAAAAAAAAGCTAAAAA